CCATAAGTCTGTAATGTATTTATTGCAGCTCTACCTTTGTGTCCTGAGTGCCTACTCTAATGCAGCGGCTTGGGTCAACTGGATAAAGTAAAAATATTTAATCTTTACTTTGTCTAGGTATATCCTTGTCTGTCCTCTTAGGGCGTATGCGCGGGATATCCGCGCAGTAGCCTGCATGGATATTGTAACCCTTTGGTGGTTGGAGAGCAGGCAGGGATGACTCTTTTAAAATTACTCATGGCTTCCCAGTCAAAGAAGACTCGTTTGAAACGTATGTCGACCGAGGATACGGAACCTAATACTGTACCAAATAAAACATCTCGAACCTGGCCTAGATTTCTGGTTATACAGAGTACGAATGATACTAATTTAGCAAAAACCTCTTCTTTCTTGATTGCTAAAGGTCTTGCTTGCTTGGCCGGTGAGCCCAAAAGCGTCAAGAAAATGAGAAATGGTACTCTGTTAGTGGAATTTGCTAGAGTCACATGCATCATCTTTATTAAAATCTACGACTTTAGCCAACATTCCAATCAAAGTTGCACCGCATAACTCTCTTAATTCTTCAAGAGGTGTTATACGGTCTCAGGATTTAGAGAGCAGCTGTGAGGAAAAGATGCTTGAAAATCTCGCCTCACAAGGTGTTACCTACGTCAAACGTATTTCTATCAGACGTAATGGTAATATTATCCAAACCAACACCTACATCCTGACCTTTAATAGACCAGATCTACCTAGGATGATCAAAGCTGGTTTTCTTGCCATTCCAGTTACCCTTACATCCCAAATCCATTGCGTTGCTTTCATTGCCAGCGCTTTGGGCACAGTAAAACCGTTTGTAAGGGGAAAGCAACGTGTGTTCGATGTGGACAAGATGGTCACAAAAGTACATCTTGTCAACTCGACCACCATTGTATTAACTAAAAAGGGCCTCATTTTGCTTATTCCAGAGAGTGCCCTATATGGAAGAAAGAAAAACAAGTTCAGCAGGTCAAAACAGAAAAAAACATACCATATCCAGAAGCAAGGAAGTTGGTTTAGGCTGCAACCCCAACATTTGCAATGTCTTTTGCAAATGCAGTCAAGCCGAAGACTACTTCCATTGCTTGTCAGACACCTGCTAAATTCCCAGCTTCGACGGAATCCTCGTCACAGAATAAACCTCCCATACCTCCAAAACCTGTAAATGTTTCTCTCAGCTCCCAGACTGCTAATTAGTCTGGGGAGTCTGAGATTGAGGAGATCGTGCCCCCCACTCCTCAACCAACTGGTGGAGATCCACCCAAAAACACTAACAAGGATCGTTCTGGTAAGGGCGTTCCTAAAAGTTCAAAATTAAATACCTTCCGTAGTAGGAAGGTTGACGAGGATCCTGTCGGAACCTTTAACAGGTTCGGGATTCAGGACAATCTCATGGATGTTGTTGTAGAAATACATGACCCCAAACAACATCATAGAAGTCCTGTTAAACCTCCCTGAAAATGGCTAATTCCATAATTCAATGGAATTGTCGTGGTCTTAAACCCAATTTTAATGAAGTTCAAATATTAATTCAAAAATTTAACCCCTTAGCTATTTGTTTGCAAGAAACTTTTTTAAAGAGTTCAGATGTCTTGACACTCAGACATTTTGTTGCCTATCATCATTTTGGTGTTTCCTTTTTCCTGAATGGAAATATTCCGCAGAGTAAAGTCACCCTCAATTCGCCTTTACAGGCAGTTGCAGTGAGGGTGACTTTACATATTCCTATCACACTCTGCTCTGTATATTTACCACCTAGTTTACATCTGAACCCCAGAGATCTTGATGACCTTGTTGCAGAACTTCCTCTCCCGTTTATAATTACGGGAGATTTCAATGGTCATCATTCACTCTGGGGTAGTCCAGATGATAACAACAGAGGTAAATAAATAGCGGACTTCATTAATATTAATAATTTGTGTTTATTAAATGATGACTCGCCTACTTTTCTACATCCTGCCACAGCTTATTTTTCTTCTCTTGATCTAACCATTTGCTCTCCGGTCCTGTTTCAGGATTTTACATGGAGAGTAAATGAAGATCTGTGTGGTAGTGACCATTTTCCTATCTTGATAGATAATAATGGTCCCTCTCCGGATCTTTATAACCGGATTTGGGTTGATGAGAATTTTCCCCCTTCATGGCGTGAAGCCACAATAATTCCCATCCCTAAACCGGGTAAAGATCCTACGAATCCTACCAATTATCGTCCAATCGCTTTGACTAGCTGCATTTGCAAAACCATGGAGAGATTGATCAATCGAAGGCTTGTTTGGTACCTTGAGTCCAACAACCTCATTACAGACCTCCAATGTGGATTTCGGTCCCAAAGGAGCACTCTTGATCATCTCGTTCGATTTGAAACGTTTGTCAGGGAAGCTTTCATCCAGAAACAACATTTAGTTGCTATATTTTTTGATCTGGAGAAAGCTTATGATACCACATGGAAATATGGTATCATGCGCGACCTGCATAACCTCGGTCTGCGGGGTCGCTTACCTGTCTTCATTAAAAATTTCTTAGAAGATAGGTAGTTTAAGGTACGCTTGGGATCAATATTCTCTGATCCATTTCCTCAAGAAATGGGAGTCCCTCAGGGAAGTATACTATCTCCCACTCTTTTTTCCATCAAGATAAATACCATACCATCGTGCCTTAAACGTGGGGTCGACGGCTCTCTTTATGTTGATGAAATTTTTGGGTTTGATATTTGATAAGAAATTATCATTTATCCCACATATCAAAACCCTCAAGAAGGAATGTCTGAAAGCCCTCTACATTTTGAGAGTCTTATCAAACACTGACTGGGAAGCAGACCGTAAGGTCTTGCTCAGATTATATCGAGCTTTAATAAGATCTAAACTCGATTATGGGTGTATTGTGTATGGGTATGCCCGTGAGTCTTATCTCAAAGAGCTTGACACCATACACAACCAAGGACTTAGAATTAGTTTAGGAGCATTTCGAACATCTCCAGTGCAGAGTTTATACGTCGAGGCGCACGAGCCCTCATTGCACGATAGACGTGATAAACTTGCACTGCAGTATGCTACAAAAATTGCATCTCTGCCTCATCATATTTCTTATAAAACCATATTTAGACCATTTCACGAACATCTGTATTTACTGAAAACTAACGTTATTCCATCATTCGGTATTCGCATCCAACCCCTTTTGTCAGAGGCTGGGATCAGTCATGACAGTATTGAGAATACCCCTTTGTTTAGTACACCACCCTGGACTATATCGCCTCCAAAGATCGATTTAGATCTAACGAAAAACAAAAAGAGAGATACTAGTTCCACGTTTTTTCAGACTCTCTTTCCAGAGCTGAGGTCTAAATATGGTGATTATGCTCCCATTTACACAGATGGTTCCAAAGATGGTGATCGGGTAGCTTCGGCTACCGTCACGCCATCTGGAACCATGTCTGTCAGACTTCCACCTGCTGCTTCCATATTTCCTGCTGAGCTCCAGGCAATCTTTCAGGCATTGGAGTTCATTCAATCATCTTCTAATTTAAAACACGTTATATTTACTGATTCTTTGTCCTCTTTGCAAGCAATAAACAATAAGCAGCTTGTACACCCATTAGTAGCAGACATTTATCATCTGCTACTATCACACGAGTTTAACAGCAAGGAGATTGTCCTTTGCTGGCTCCCCAGTCATGTTGATATTAAAGGGAACGATCAAGCAGACTTAGCTGCCAAGTCTGCTTTAGATCTTCCCATATCAAAATTTCTTTTACCTTTCACAGATTTTAAATCTTCTATTAACTCTTTTATTTATGACCGCTGGCAACGGTCTTGGGATCTTGCAGGCACAAATAAACTTCATCACATTAAGCCTCTCTTAGGAGACTGGCCAAGTTCCTGTAGAACCAACAGGAGGGATGAAGTTGTTTTGTGTCGCTCTCGTATGGGTCATACTTTTTTAACACACATTTTCATATTAAAGCGAGAGCCTCAACCAGAATGTGAACACTGTCATGTTCCTTTGAAAGTTAAGCACATTTTGATTGAGTGCAAGCATTTCAAGGATATTAGAGAGAGGGAGAGAGAAATGGGGTTTAACGTCCACTCGACACAAACTAGGTCATTTCGGGACTAACATATGGTTTAATTTTATTTCAATAATTCGTTTGCGCATAGGGGTCTTTAGCAGTGGGAGGAAACCGGAGGACCCGGAAAAAACCCACGAGGTTGGACAGGTGACCCTACTCCTTGTCACGTACAACCGGGGATTCGAAACCACGCCAGTCGACTCAATGACAGACTTTATGATACAACGCGCGCACGCTAACCAAGGATATTAGATCAAATTTTTACCGTTGTCAGTCATTACATCACATGTTTGCCCAACCGGGTTTATATGGTAAGGTGTTAGACTTTTTAAAGGAGACAGGATTTTATCATAAATTTTAGTTGTATATATATATATATCATTTCATTTTTGTATTTAATATTTATATGCATAAAAGTTGTATTTTATTTTTAATTTTACTAACTGTGATATTGTTTTTTTTATGCATATAATGTTTTTCTGTGATATAATTTAGCCTGTCTTGTAATATTCACCATATGTTTGGCGCAATATAGCCCGGTTGGAGCTGACGTGCCATAAAACCACATTTCATTTCATTCGTAGGGCTTAACGTTGGTTTCCATCGAGGATGATATCGCAGACAAGAAGCGCCAGTCGTAACGAGAGGCTAGATGTTGGGGATAGAGGGGCGATTAAGAAATTAAATCTAATAAATGAGGGCGCAATGGTGTCCAAGTACGTCATCATTCGTTCGTCCATGTTCCTACGATATACACAATGGTCGGACAGGTGACCTTACTCTTTGTCACGCACAACTGTCGAATCGAAACCACGCCAGTTGACTCAACCACGAGATCGAACCCGGGGCCTCCAGGGGAGCAAGTCAGTGCCTAACACACTGAGCCACACAAATAACACTACATTATATATTTTCATGTAGTTCGGCCATTACGGTTTTTATTGACATGGTACATAAATAAACTACACAATAAACAAAATGTCTGAAAAGATAAAAATATGAGAGAATGAGATATGAGGTTCCTAAGACAATATTTACACAATGTTGATAAAATGGCTAAAAAAATCTACAATCATTATACACAAATAAATAATATATAGACCATGGACATGTTTTGTAAAGTCGGCATTAGTTGACTCTTTAAACGGCATTTAGTAGGCCTAATTGAACACGTCAAAATAAACACAACAAATCTATGGAAAACAATTAGGCCCATTTTTGCCGGTTACATAGAAACGGTTCCGTTTCATTTTCATTAGACCGACTTTTTCGCTAGCGAAAATGCGTACATGGAAAGCAGGCCTTACTTTATTTTAAAATACAGATGTGACGTCATCCTTTGATGTTGGCGTATCATTATTTCCAATAATGTACAGGCAATTTGCCAATCGATATTAGATGAAATATTGGACTCATGTGACTTATTTCATTCAAAAGCATGTGCGGAATCGTGTCTGTATTTTAAGTTGTTTAATGGTCTCGAGCTAAAGACATTGCGTAATATATTGAAACAACACTCGGTTAACACCTCGTGCAGTATCAATATATTACTTAATGCCCCGCGCTTGACCATTAAACCATCGGAGCAAATGACAGAGAATCATCGTAAAAAAGTATACAGGTCACAATTCTATGGAATATAATTACTGTTAGGCTTCTCTAGACATTATCAAGAAATGAAATGAAATGAAATGGAGTTTAACGTCCTACTGTTCTGCTCCTAACCTGGGCTAATGAAGACGGGCATACGCCATACAGTGTGCTATGAGGGAAATTTTGCCCGGACAGCGGTACTATGGCCTACTCTTGTATCAAATTCCAACTGCTAAGGGATCTTTTACGTGCACGCCAATGTGTACACGGGACCTCGGTTTTTCGTACCATCCGAACGACTAGACAGCTTTCCTTGTCAGCCCCTCCGTCCTGCATCACTGACAAGGGAGAACCACGCCGGAAAATCTGGATGAACTTTTTCGGCCAATGCAGGGATCGAACACCCTACCTCCAGGCTAGCGAGCTAGTGTCTTACCCACTTAGCCACGTGATCCCCCGTTATCAAGAAACGTCGGTCAGTAATAAGCAGTAATTGTATTCCATAGAATTGTGACCTGTGATTTTCGGTTCAATTACTAAATGCCATATAAACAATTGATCGTAGTAATTGTTTTCCATTGAACAGTTGTGTTTATTTTGGACATGGTACAACAAGGACAGGATCTACACGGTATATACAGTATATATATTTTAGATAATAAGTGACCAGGGTTTTACGATCGGAACAACACCCATAACACATGTTTAATAAATGTGGGACTTGGACCCGGTTTGATGAAGAGTATGTTAGTTACAAGTACTTGGTGTGTAGGCTAGTTACAAGTACTTGATGTGTACGTCAGTTACACACATCCCCGGTGAGCTACCGGCAGATTACAAAAAAAGTACACAGGTATTGAACATTATCTAAGGAAAGTACACCCAATAGGCATCAAAATTATCAAGAAATGAAAATCGCCTAAAGAGGGCTTTTTCCATGGTGAGGCAATAACTATTTTTTGATAATTTTGATGTCTGATGGGTGTACTTTCCTTACCCGTGTCCTTTTTTTTAATACCCTGCTGGCAACTCACCTGTGAGTACAGGTACTTGATGTGTACGTCAGTTACAGGTCCATATAATATTACACCTGATGACGTGTAACACCATATACATACACTTGCATTAACACATACATAGGTTACCACAGTTTAATGCTAAATGATAAGGCCAGCTCAATTTTTCCTCATAGGTCACAAGCTGTAAACAGGGCTAGCACTAGTCCCAACCCTAAAACTAACCCAGGACCCAGCCCCAACGCTTACCCTAACCCTACAATCTCGCCAACAATCACGTCCCCTAACCTTATTTAAATCTCAACGACCTTGACAAATATTGAGCTGGCCTTAACAAATAGATTTAGCCTATTATATATAGTATACCTCTGTTTAGTTAGGCCCTAGTGACTGGTCTAGGTTTTAAAGCTACTGCTTTATAAACAATAGATAGAATTTAAATGGATGCCGTACAAACGAATGGTGGGAATGCTGTACAATATAAATTGTTTATCATAATCACCGGTAACAATTCTACAATACATAGGTTATCGTAATGGTATCAACAGACTGGGTATCAATTCTACCATATAATGTATAGTATATTTTACTGATAATATTAATAATAGTATGATGGTGATTATTGCACGCTAAAGACCAGGGCCCTGTTTCTCGAAATCTTAACTAAAGAAAAAATCTAAATTTTGGTAGATACTTCAATTTTGATTGGCTAAGCACTAAAATCAATCTAATATTATCAAATTACTAAAATTTGGATTTTATCTTAGTTAAAATTTTGTGAAACAGGACCCAGGTATCTAAAGCAATGGTACAAGTAGTATCAGACTATTCACCATGGCAACATCACGGATCGACTATATTAAACTTGTGTTTGTGAAAAGTTATCTGCCCCTGGTTCTGTTTGGAGGTAGGCTAACCCATCTTAAACGGAGCAATACCACTGGGGATATCGAGGGTCGGGCAAAACTAGAAAACAGGCTTTCTTTCGGAAATGAAATGAAATAAAATGGAGTTTAACGTCAAACTGTTCTGCACCAACTGGGCTAATGAAGACAGGCCTCCTCTAAAAACTGAGTCCACATTTGTTACAACTTGATAGACAGGACTAGAGATTTTAACCCACAATTTATCTGCAACTGCGACTTGGTATTGCAATGGAACTCCAAACCGATAAACTCAATTGATGGTCGTCAGCAGAGGTTTTGAACTCTAGTCTAATGCTAACCAGTCAGCTCCTATTTGAGCTCTATTGCCTAAAGCTAACCAGTTAACTCCTATTTGAGCTCTGTTGCCAAAGGCTAACCAGTTCGCTCCTATTTGAGCTCTGTTGACAAATATTCGATCTACTGAGTGAGGTATATAAGTTTAATAGGCATAATTTTTGATCAATCCACAAGTGTAAACTATAATTCAACGGTCGTGTAGCAATGTCTAAAAAAAGCTGATTATGCTTGTTACCACTGCTTCGAGAAAATGATTAAAGGCCAACTCACATTATAGATTAACTGTCAGATAACTAAACAGAACTCTTAGTTACAATAACAAAGGAAATCGTATTGCCTAGGTTTTTTCTCAACAGATTTCATCGTCAATAAATCTTTGATTTGAGTTGGCCTTATAAGCAATTTATAAATGACGTGAAATGGAATGGGGTATAATGTTCTACCTTTCTGCACCTACCGGGCTAATGATGATGGGCATACACTATTAGAGGTGATATTGTCCGTACAGTGACGCTTATATCGAATTCTAACTGTCATGGGTGCTTTTACATACTAGCTAAGCCAACGTGCAGTACACAGGACCTTGGTCTTTCATCGGAATGACTCGACAAGGTGCTTTCATACCCTCTTGGCCAGCACTACAGTCATGGGAAACAACGCTGAAAAATCCTGGGGGATTCTTTCGACCGACAACGAAATCGAAACCTGACCTCCTGGTTCATGGGCCTGCGCCTTACCCATTACAGATCTTTAGATGATGTGGGATATAATACAAAATGAACAATTCGTTGAAAATGACCATTCTAGTCTCCATAACACGGACTATAAATGGATATTGCATGTGAATTCATCACTTCACGAGAGAAATGAAATGAAATGGGGTTTAATGTCCTACTGTTCTCTCCGCCTACTGGGTTAATGAAGATGGCAACACCATACAGTCTGCTATGATGGAAATTTTGTCTGGCTCTCTGTCCAGCACCACTGACAAGGGGGAAACAAGTCGATAACCTTTCTCAGCCAACACCGGGAATGAACACAGGACCTCCAGATTAGCAAGCAAATGTCTGAGCCACTGCACCTCCACTTTACGTGAGATTACGATTGATTGCGAATTTTGAACAAGAACCAATTGAATATGATTATTTTTTTTAAATGTTTGATTCCTTCATGATTCAACAGAACTGTGGCTAGATTGCAATTTGGCAGAACATAGAATGTACCGAGCTGACAATTGAGCGACCTGATCAGAAATGAAATGAAATGAAATGAAATGGGGTTTAACGTCCAACTGTTTTGCTCTGACTGGGCTAATGAAGACGGGCATACACCATACAGTGTGCTATGAAGAAAATTTTGCCCGGACAGCAGCACTACGGCCTACTCTTATATCGAATTCCAACTGTCAAGGGATCTTTTACGTGCACACCAATGTGTTGATGATGAAGCATCACATGAATCACAAAGATAATATCTGAGCAAAAATATACATACAATTGTAAAAGTGGATTTCTATGGTAATGAGTTTCCAGAGTTAAAGGATTTTTTTCAAACCGTGAAATTATTCCCAATACAGAGAGCGAAACAGGTTTCAACGTCAACTCGACACAAACTATGTCATTTCTGGACAAAAATGTTTCTATTTTATTTCAATAATTCGTTTGCGCGCAGGAGTCTTTAGCAGTGGGAGGAAACCAGAGGACCCAGAGAAAACCCACAAGGCTGGACAGGCTACCCTACTCCTTGACTCAATGACAGATCTTGTGATCAAATGCGCACCTGTTAACCATTCGGCCACCCAACTCCCCCACTGTTCCCAATAGAGAGAGAGAGAGAGAAATGGGGTTTAACATCCACTCGACACAAACTTGGTCATTTCGGGACTAACATATGGTTCGATTTTATTTCCATAATTCACTTGCAAGTAGGGGTCTTTAGCAGTAGGAGGAAACCAGAGGACCCAGAGAAAACCCACAAGGTTGGACAGGCGACCCTAGTCCTTGTCACGTACAACCGGGGAATCGAAACTACGCCAGTTGACTTAATGACACAGTATGATACAGGGTGCGCACATGTGTTAACCATTCGGCGACCCAACCCCACTGTTTCCAATAGAATATATATATATATATGATAAATGTTGATGTAGTGTGAATATATACCTTTACATAAATAGAGAGGTACCAAATCCTTCTTTTTTTTTTTAAATTTACACTTCTCAAAAGCCTCTTAAACAAAACATCGCTTATGTGAGGATCTTCAAATTGATTTAGACCTCAGCATAGATTTTATCCAATAAATTAAGTTTACATAACTTTGACTAGAAAATTATTAAAATCAAAATAAAAAATATATATGCACTTCTTCTGAAATATACATTTACAAATCCTGAAGATAACCAGATGTATCTTCTGTAGGAACGGATGATTTTTTTAAAATACAAGGTATCTAATTATATTCATAAGGTTTCTACAAAAGGAAGCGATGAACACAAAAGGAAAACATAAGTTAAGCAGTGGACACATTAGCCGAATCATTCGGCCGAATGAATCGGTGCCGAATTTTATTCGGCCGAATGGGTGGACATACTAGGCGAATGCTTCGCCCGATTCACCAGTCGATTGCATCACCTTTCACGTCTCATGATTAAACATGGCGCCGTCTATGTCTTCAAACTATCCCATGACTTGACGATATGAGTGGTGATTGGCTAATGAATTCTACATTCGGACGAATGATTTCCTTTTGTGTTCGTCACTTCCTTTTGTAGAAACTACATCTACTCATCTATCGTAGCAATGATCTCTGTGTTAAAATTATATTTGGAACATGCTTAACCAGTTCTATCACATTATGTGATAATGACTGACGCCAATATTGTCCTTTAAGAATGAATGATTTCTTTAAATACAATGCATCTAAAGATACATTAGTTAAGAGTATTATAAAGAGTTGGCCATTCTTGGTATAATAATTCAAAAATAGATGATAATAAAAGAATATGTGGAAAATTTCAGTCAAATTACTTTGTTCTGAACAGAATTGTCACTGTTGGAAGTTTGGACTAGAAATAGGCATCAATTGTGTCTGCACCGTCTATTAGAATTGGTGATCGTTTTATTGATTAACGATAACTCCAACGACATATTCTCGATTATCAAGTAACGTGCTCAATGGCTATGATAGCCTCGCTTGACAGGCCTTTCATCACCAATTTCCAGTAGTAACATCAGCGACTAACGGTAAACGTAAGCTTGGTCCGCCATTTATTAATTTAAATCCAAACTGTATCCAAGTGATCCGTGGGTCTACAGAGATGATTTTGAGCTTGTCGTGTAAATAAAGGTCTAATTAATAATTTATATTTTCAATGAAATCTGAACTATGACTAAGAAAAAGATGAGATTCTATTAAACGATAATTGATGTAGATATTATAAACAACTTCTAACCCTTACCCATAAAACCACATCCTCTCATTATGTTAAGATATTGTTACATGCATCTGTTGTCATGGAGAATTAGTTAAATATATGTTGCATAGAGATATTTTCACACACATATTTTGCTGGTGCCAATTCTTTTTTTTTAGTTGAAATACCATGGAGCAGAATCAATGGAGTGACTCCTCATGGTGTTAATGCCAACCATACTGTTTATCACCGTCGATCATTCCTCAGCATTGGTTCATTCAACGACATATTGATATAGAACTATATAATTCAAAATGTTTTACCTATCTGACATACTATACAGAGAGAGATAGAGAGAGAGATTAAAGTCCACTCTACACAAAATAGGTCATTTCAGGACTAACACATGGTTCAATTTTATTTCAATCATTCGATGGCGCGTAGGGGTCTTTAGCAGTAGGAGGAAAACAGAGGACCCGGAGAAAACCCACGAGGTTGGACAGGCAACCCTACTCCTTGTAATGTACAACCAGGGAATCAAAACCACGCTAGTTGACTCAATTACAGACCTTATGATACACAGGCCCATAACTAGGGGGGTGCAAAAAGTTTCGCCCCCCCCCTCCCAGTGAAAAAATGTTCGACCATAAAATAAATAGATATACATTGTCCGTCAATTTTACAGCACCCCTGAGAACACTTCCCGCCCCCCTCGTTGCTCTGATCTACTTACGACCCTGATGATACAGCGCACACGTGCTAACCATTCGGCCATCCAACCCCCACGCCAGACACATGTTACAATATCTTGACATTTGTGAGGATGACAGAAAACTTTTCTTCACTAAGAGAGAATAAATATAAACAAATAGGTCAACTTGTACCTTGTTATAATTCTAAAATAAAATAAAATAAAATATCACCATGGTAACGTCTTATCATACTTAAAGTCCCTGACCCCTTTTAGAAGAGTGTAACACATAAACGCTACCGACATGTATCCCTGACCCTTATTAGAAGAGTGTAACAGATAAAATTACAAAATAAGAAGTGTCTTAAAGGGACAATAACACTCTTGCTGGCTTAAAAGCTCCAGAAAATAAATAATATCTCTATCTAAGTACTAGATGTTTAAGTGTCCTACCTGTTGTGTAAATTATCCATTACATCCTATTTTACTTGTCCAGAGGGTTCGAAAATATTTTTAAATCGAAGTTTCATTTGAAAAGGTTTACGTTAGACGTTTCAAACCATTATGTTGACTTTTTCAAAATGTTTAAATAAGGTGTGTTAAGATGAAATTTGTATCATCAATTAATTGAAATATTCTAAAATAGTACAGATGTTAAGATGAAATTTGTATCATCAATTAATTGAAATATTCTAAAAGAGTACAATTTGTTGACCAGAATAAAGATTGGGACATATTATTCAGTTACAACAAGAGTGGTATTGAGCCTTTAATCAACGACCAGATCTCGATGATAATCAATCTGATTATAAGAAATAATCAGTCAATATCGTCGCTTGTCTGGCGAACCGACTAATCTGAAATATTTAAGTATTGAGAATTAGGCGTTAGCAATTTGCGATTCTGTTGTTATCTCTTTAGCCATCAAATATTAACATTTTTTTATGATTTAATATTTCATACATATACATCAGGACACGGTACGTCATTTACATAAACGTTATTATTTGATGGACATAGAGATAACAACAGAGCGCAAATTTCAAACTCATAATTCTCAATACTTAAATATTTCAGATTTGTCGGTTCGCCAGACAAGCGACGAATTATTGTCAATTCAAACCACAGCCATTACAAACATGAACACCAAAACAAATATGGCTGAATGATAAGATACAATCAAACATCGAACTTCTGTTGATAAAAGACAGAATGTGAATTGGCCTTGATGATTTACCATACTTCCATTAAGCACCATAACCCATTTCAATTACAAAAAGTAAAAATGGCAACAATTGTCTACAGCAGATGGCGATTGTTGTAGATGCATAAAATCATTCGTAAGTTTTATCATATTAAAAACATTAGAGAAATTCGCAACTTTACATTTACACTAACATTTACATTTAGACAGTTAAACGTCATCGGTTTTGTGACGTATTATGACGTGAATCATGTGTCATAAATGTGTGTTCGAAAAGATAGCAGCCCCCCATACCTGTAAGTTCACAACACTTAGTTAAACCTTGTTTAATTTCTATAATCCAGTCCATAATTTTTCTCTGAATCGTGGTTTTCATGGAATTAATCCACAGAGAAGACTTTCTCCTTCATGTAAACAAAATAAGAAAAGGCTGAGACAAAACATGTGCATGCTTTAGTAATCTCATCTTCGACGATCTATCCGTGATGAAGGTCCAAGTTCGTGTCACCACCTATTAAGTCTAACTGTGAATTTTGCGAAACTTAACAGTTACACTTATCTAAATGTAAATGTAGGTGTAACTGTTAAGTTGCGAAACCTCTCTATTGGCCTTATACGGATTCGAGATTTAATTTCAGAGTGAGATCTGCACTAGAATTTCCTAATTTGGTCATTGGCAAGTCCAGTTTTATGATTCTAAAAATCATGCCCTTATAAGGTCTCAAGATTCAGTTCCGTCAAAACAACAAAGTGAGTTCTGTACTAGAATTTCCTAAATTGGTCATCGGCAAGTCCAGACCGACTGATAAAAACTGACCATCAGCTTCTACGTTGCTGTTAATCTCATCGTCGGTGTCGTAGAAAACCTCAGCCGCCGGGACGATTGGTGGAATTTCCTTTAAACTCATTAAGATATGGTAGAAATTAATTTCCGTGTAGAGTCATAAATCTGGAAATCTGTTTGGATCTTCACGATAATCGTCAGGTAGTTGGAATAAATAGTCTTCTAAGTCGTTTCGCCATTCGAAGAACGTAAAGGTTACTTTAGCGGAGACAGTCGGAAACACAGGGATTTCTAAAAAATTAACACAAAATTATATATTTAAGTACATCTTTATAATATATTTTGTAACATTGTTTCAAGATTTAGAATAATTTGGTGCAATTCTTGCATTAAACTCAAATATTATTATACTGACTACTTACAAATCCTGTTTTTAACTAAAAATCAATACTTTGAATCAAAACTGAATCCTCTTGCAGACCTTCATCTTGCAACAAAAAATATCTTTTAGTTTTACACACAAATCAAATACAGAATTTGAGAGAGACAGAGAGAGAGAGAAATGGGGATTAACGTCCACTTGACACAAACTAGTTCATTTCAGGACTATATATAGTTCAATTTTATTTCAATAATTCGGGTATTTTTATAAATGGGAAAAAAAAGTAGGACCTGGAACAAACCCATGAGGTTGGACAAGCGACCCTACTCCTTGTCATGTACAAGTGGTGAATGGAAACCACGTCACTTGACTCAACAAAAGATCTTCTGATCCAATGGGCATGTGTTAACCATTCAGACACCCACCCCCCCACTACAGGATTTGAGAGAGAGAGAGAAAGAAATGGGGTTTAACGTCCACTCGACACAAACTAGGTCATTTCGGGACTAACATATGGTTTAATTTTATTTACATAATTCGCTTGCGCGTAGGGGTCTTTAGCAGTGGGAGGAAACCGGAGGCCCCGGAGAAAACCCACAAGGTTGGAAAGGCGACCCTACTCCTTGCCAAGTACAACCGGGGATTCGAAGCAACACGCTAAAACTGACCTATTTTGACAGGAAAACCAGTGGGTAATTTTGAGGTCATAAATTCACGGAGCTTCTGAAACTGTTTAAAAGGTGCTACAACCTCTAACACATCCAATAACCTGAAGAAAAAATACATGGACAAAAATGTTAAAAAGGTAGTGCTAAATGATAAGGCCAGCTCAATTTTTCGTCATATGTCACGAGATGTAAACAGAGCTAGCGCTAATCCCAACCCTAACCCTGGACCTACCCCCAATGCTTACCCTAACCCTAACCTACTATCTCCCCAACAATCATGTGCCCTAACCTTATTTACATCTCAATGACCTTGACAAAAATTGAGTTGGCCTTAACAAATAGATTTAGCCATGTTAATATCATTCCAGGGTACAAACTAAAGCATAAATTTGTTAAACGATTTTTTAAACAAAGATTTGACATTGAATGAATGTGAAAGAAATTAGTGCTAAATGCACAAGATTAAATGATACCTGGGTTACAGTGGTTATATAAGTGCATTACTTTATTGGTCATAATAAGAACTTATTCATCGCAAAAGAGATATTATGATTATTATGTAACATACTAAGAACCTAACTACATTTTTGGGGCACCAACCACCACCGCCCCCCCAGTAAAAAATTTCCCGTACGCCTATGATACTCGCTAGGTTTGATATTGAACGAATGTGAAAGAAATTAGTGCTAAATGCACAAGATTAAATGATACCCGGGTTACAGTGAATATACGTCCACTGAAAATGTGGACGTATAAAGAGGAAAGTGTGCATGGTTGTTCGGAAGGATAGGAAAAACAGAGGTCCACCGTCAACACATTGGGGTGCCCATAAAAGAAATGAGAATGAAATGAAATAGGGTTTAATGTCCGACTGTTCTGCTCCGACTGGGCTAATGAAGAAGGGCCCATAAAAGAACCGATGACTATCTGAAATATCCCTATCATTGCACACATGACCACAAAATAAATTAACCATTTGTTAGTCTCAAAATGATCATGTATTGTGTTGAAGAGATGTTAAACCCCATTCCATTCCATTACAAAATTACAGAATCATTAAAAGTTTGTCTAAAAACAAGAGATAAGCAATTGGGGGGTATTACTAAAATGGGGAACTAACTCTGTCATCTACCCATATTATCTCCCCTTAGACCACAATCAAAATTTGTTTAAGAAAAACAAGTCCACTGAACACAACTAAAGTCATTTCATTATTTTGACTGCTGGAGTGCTGGAGTGAGAAAAATTGTTCCCAACATTTTCAAAAACAATCCAACATGCAACTACCATGGTAACCAGGTCTGGGAACAGTGAATATGGTTATACCCTGACTGAATGTCTGGAATTGATGAAGTCAAGTCTTACTTTGTGCAAGACATGGATCAATAATATTCCTAAAATAGAGAAAATAGACAAATCGGTATCCGGCATTGTCTTTGACAGATGCCTTAGTTCTAGGTTTGCTGGTAACATCCCCACGATCCCCATGGCAACTATTTTATACTTACACCTCGACTGTCATCGGAAAATCTTCACTCTATAAAGAAAAATGTCATAGATATTCACCAATACACCCATAGAGAGAGAAATGGGGTTTAACGTACACTCAACACAAACCAGGTAATTTCGGGAATAAAATATGGGAGGAATCAGGAGAACCCAGAGAAAACCCACGAGGTTGGACAGGCGACCCTACTTCTTGTCACATACAACCAGGGAATCGAGAACCATGCCGGTGGACTCAATGACAGACCTTATGATACAGCGTGGACGTGCTAACCATTCGGCCATCCACCCCCTCCCCCAATACACCTATAACTTATTCTGCTTCCTGTTTACATTCAAATATTAGTCTATTCTGGACTCTTATTTAGAGAAGGTTTATGCTCCATTCAACAAGGCTTGAATCTTTAGAACACATAAAAAATAAACTGTCTGCAGTGTCTAGTTACGAGTAATTTAGGATACCTTAAATGGTTTTAATAAATTCAAAACTGGTTTTCTAATGTTTTACGTATTTCAAGGATATGTTCGGATATACAATGAAGTTTGAAAATGGTGTGATTGTCAATTTCCTCAGAATTTCTTGAAGATTTTTATCAATGAAGTTTTTTATCAATGAAGCATTAAAATGAAGAAAAATATAGATGGCAATTTTTATACAAATTAGTTGGAATCAGAGGTTGCAGTCACCCAAAAATCTGCGTTTTTCACCCAAAAATCTGCGTTTTTCACACATTTTTTTCAAAATAAACACAAATATTGATGGAGGCTGCGTAATTTACACGCAGAAAATTTCCCCGACGTGAGAATAATTAGATTATTCTATTTCGTAGTTTGTACACTACGTTATTAATTACCGAGCTTCACGCGGCATTTACACACCGCTACTGTACGTAGTCTCCATAGGTTTTTATATTTCCTCTTATTTCGTTCATAATCTTTAAGTTCATGGCAGTAAGCTTTCTATACATAGCTATTCTGGGACCCCCTATTTTGCCGCACTGGAAGCAATAAAGCACATTTCATACAAGACTTTGGATTAGCTAGAACAATTGATCCACTGCGACCTCTGGTTGGAATATGTTTAAACGTTGGAAGGCATCTTTAAAGGAAACAGAAATTGAAGAAAAAGCAGTTGATTAAATCTACTTACCATAGCAATAGTTGCACGAAAACCTTTCGAGTTCTCTTTAGCGATAGGTGTACGACCTAACGTGGGCGGATTACCTGGGTTAAAACTGATATAGTCTTCCCAAGATACATTAGGTACTGGTGGAGGAGGTAGAGACTGGCGCCGGTCAAACTACAACAAAACATAACATATAATTAACAACCAGCAGTTGCCTGGCAAGATACACCCACATTCTGCAAGAGATGTATAGCAATCAGGGGCCATAATCCAGAAAGTTATGGTCTGAAATGCGCAAATATCAAAAGGGATCGAGATCTCTGGGATATAAACATATATTTTAGGTTTCATCAAAATCGGATAAAAATTGTGACCTCTAGAGGGTCAACAACCTCCGTATTACATATTTTACACAATTTGCGTACAAAGAGCGGCCATTTTCCTGAAATTCAAATTAGGCCTTCATTATGGTGGAACAGAGATATATTGAAATGTTTTTTTAAATCGGATAAAAATTGTGACCGCTAGAGGGACCACAAGCTAAAAACATGATTTTTCGTACAATTAGAGGCCATAATTCAGAAAGTTACAATCCGAGGCAAATATCGAAAGGAACCAAGATCTTTGGGTTATAAATATGCATTTCAAAATTCATCAAAATCGGATGAGAATTTGTGACCTCTAGAGGGTCCACAAGCTAAAGGGGCCTTAATACATGCCAATATCGAATGGAACCGAGATCTTTGTAATATAAACCTATATTTTATGTTTCGTCATAATTGGATAAAAATTGTGACCTGTAGAGTGTCCACAAACAAATTGTGGATGGACAGATTTTCGGACAGGGGCTATGACAATATACGTCCACATGAAAATATAGCCATATATAAATACTAAATATATACTCACATAGTTACAAAAATGTCCAAAAACCATAAAACAAAATGAAATGGTGTTAAAGTCCTACTGTTTTGCTCCGACTGGGATAATGGAGACGGGTATATGTCATACCGTATGCTATGAGAGAAATTTCGATCGGACAGCAGCACTACAGCTTACTCTTATATCAAATTCCAACTGTCAAGGGATCTTTTACATGCATGCCAATGTGTATACAGGACCCTTTTTCCTCCCATCCGAAAGACTAGACAGCTGTCCTTGTCAGGCCCTCCATCCTGCACCACTGACAAGGGGAAATCACACTGGAAAGTCTCAAACTTTCTCGGCCAGCATGGGAGCAAACCCGTGACATCCAGACTAGCGAGCCAGCGTCTTACCTTCTTAGCCACCGTGGCTCCCCATAAAACAAACATAGAACAGAGAGTGAGAGAGAGGTTTAACAACCACTCGACACATGTCATTTCGGAACTATCGTGGTACAATTCTATTTCTATTATTTGCTTGGGTAGACGACCAGCCTCCTTGTCACTGACAGTCAGACAAGCGAGGGATCGAAACCACGCCACTTGACTCAATGACACACGTCAGTCCACACGACCACCCAACCCTCATTATAAACAAGCTGGTTTTGTTAATGGTAATTGATTTACAATTTGGGACCATATTAACATTTATTGCCCATTTCGGGACTAACATATGTCTAGTGTTATCTATGGTCAGGTATGCAATGACAGGGAAGATAATTTTGCCCAGACAGCTGCGTTTTACATTAATCAGGTGCATAATCTGGAGACCTCGGCTTTCATATCATCAAGCATCACTTCCAGGACGTGAATTTGATAATTTGATAAATGCTACCCGCGTCAGAACTGAAACAATGTTAAAATATATCGGAAGAACCATGATCCATTATGAATAATAGTAGATTTATTTACCTCGCAATTATCCCAGCCACCTTTACTTATATTTTCTATTATTGCCTTATTTTTCTGTATATCTTCCGATGATAAATGCTCACGTCTAAAATAAAATTTAAAAATCTATATAGTATTATGTAATCTATATAGTATTATGTAATCTATATAGTATTATGTAATCTATATAGTATTATGGAATCTATATAGTATTATGTAATCTATATAGTATTATGGAATCTATATAGTATTATGTCATCTATATAGTATTATGTCATCTATATAGTATTATGTCATCTATATAGTATTATGGAATCTATATAGTATTATGTCATCTATATAGTATTATGTCATCTATATAGTATTATGTAATCTATATAGTATTATGTCATCTATATAGTATTATGGAATCTATATAGTATTATGTAATCTATATAGTATTATGGAATCTATATAGTATTATGTAATCTATATAGTATTATGGAATCTATATAGTATTATGTCATCTATATAGTATTATGTCATCTATATAGTATTATGTCATCTATATAGTATTATGTCATCTATATAGTATTATGGAATCTATATAGTATTATGTAATCTATATAGTATTATGTCATCTATATAGTATTATGTAATCTATATAGTATTATGGAATCTATATAGTATTATGGAATCTATATAGTATTATGGAATCTATATAGTATTATTTAATCTATATAGTATTATGTCATCTATATAGTATTATGTAATCTATATAGTATTATGTAATCTATATAGTATTATGTAATCTATATAGTATTATGTAATCTATATAGTATTATGAAATCTATATAGTATTATGTCATCTTTATAGTATTATGTCATCTATATAGTATTATGTAATCTATATAGTATTATGTAATCTATATAGTATTATGTAATCTATATAGTATTATGTAATCTACATAGTTTTATGGAATCTATATAGTATTATGGAATCTATATAGTATTATGTCATCTATATAGTATTATGTAATCTATATAGTATTATGTAATCTATATAGTATTATGGAATCTATATAGTATTATGCAATATCATTACTTTTCACCTGATGGCAGGTGAGTTTATTTGGGTGCACGAAAGGTAGATTTCGGGCTATGACGCATGCGTCGACTGAATAAGTAAATATCTCAACCAACCATGCAGCCGAAACATATTCCGTGTGTTTAATTACGTCACGATTCTACTCACACCACCTACGTTTCTGGGACCGACAGAACTGTGACAGAACTGAATTCCGCGTTACTTGATTGTAAATTCTGGACATTCTGGACTGTGAATCGAGCATCCCCTATGACATAATCAAGGTCAATAACTCTGTAAGTAGTTTCAAATAATGTTTCACCTTTTACGAGATTCCAAGGTCATGTTATTTACAGCATAAAAATCAGCTTTAAAATTACCCACCATTTCCTGCGAAAAAAACAAACATCATCGTTTTTAAAATGGCATCATCAATTTCACTAAGATAATTTTTTTTTAATGGGGTTTAATGTCCTATTTTTCTACAACAATCGTGCCAAGGAAAACGGGTATACCCCATACAGCGAACTATGAGGGAAATTTTTCCCAGACAGCGATGTTTTGGCCTATTCTTTGTCGAATTCCAACTGTCATAGGTTCTTTTATGTGCACGCCAACGTGTACACAGGACCTCGCTTTTTCGTACCATCCGATGCCCGATGCTGTTCTTTGCCAGACGCTCCATTCTGTACCACTGACAAGCGGGAAACCACACCAGAATATCTCTCCTAGTTAAGGCAGGACACTACCTTATAAAACACTCTGTATAGATTGATCTGTCAAATTTTGATATCAGCTAAAATTGCCAAAAATAGTTAAAATTGTTGATTTTTCAAGTCGTGTTCAGCCTTTATATTATATAGTGTTAAATATTTAGTCATTTGTATAGGTAAATCAAATTTTTAACTTTTAACTTGCTTTTTTCCGTCCTCAATTTTTCACCCATATCAGGTCTTAGAAAATCAAATTCTCAAAATCTATGAGAGATAATGGTCTCATCTTTGGAATACGATTAGTGCTATAGCTACTGTGTGCAATAAGGTGATTTTCAAAGTGTTTGTTATACATTTGGACATTTTATTGTACAAAATCCTTTTAGTGGTGTGTTCGGCCACACCCACTTGTTTTATGTGGGATGCATAATGTTCTTTATTAACATTCAAATAGTAAAATTTATGCCTTATTGCACTCTTTAATGCCTATATATGTTATTCCAAATCACAAATAGTTTGTTTCAATAAAATTGTTGAAGATTTTGATTTCCTAACATAGCCACCGTGAATATATAAAAAAAATCCAATATGGCCACCATTTCCATGACAACAAATAAACATTTTGCGCTCAAATTATCAAATCTGATTTGGGACATCATATACTAATATTACACTAAATGGCAAGTTTCTGTTATCAATGTAAAATTCTTAGGTAGTGTCCTGCCTTAATAAAAAGTCAAAGCAGTCACCTACTTAGGGTAAGGTACTATTTGTATGATTTGTAAATTGAAAGTGTTTGTAGCACTAACATGGTGTATTTGTCTCAGGTGCGATATAGCCCAATTGGAGCTGACATGCCATCAAACAATATTCCATACATTCATATTCGTCTCAGATTTTTCACCTATTCTAATTTTAATCATTTAAATGAAACTGTTCATCGAAACTGACAAAATTTAAAAAGGTGAAATTAAATAAATGTTTTAGCATCATTTTATGTTTAGAGATATTTTTTGTAAGCTTGTAAAAATTTTCTTTTCCTCTAAGTCTTCGAGATCAATCACTTACACATAGACACTAACTTGAACATCACAAAAATAACCGTGTATCTATAGCAGTGATTCTCAACCAGTGTGCCGCTGCACACAAGTGTGTCGCGAGATCTTCCTAAGTGTGCCGCAATATTTTGAACAGCACACTAAGAAAACGCGATCCCAATTGAGTATACACTGGTTTATTTAGTTTGAGTCATTCTATGTGTCTATGACTAGTGTGTGTCTATGGTGGTATGCCGTCTAAGGATGATTCAAATATTTTTCGTATATATTTAGCCAGGTGTGTCACTATTTTTCATGTGTTCCAAGGTTGAGAAAGACTGATTTATAGCATAACCAGCGGCTGCCAGGCAGATATGCCCACATTTTCGAGAGATGGATAGAGAACAAGCTAAAAAGAAAGTGATTTTTCGTACAATCAGAGGCCATAATTCAGGAAGTTAAAGGTCCGATATGCGCGAATATCGAAAGGAACCGAGATCTTTGGGTTATAAACTTACATTTCAAGTTTCAACAAAATTGGATAAAAATTGTGACCTCTATAGGTTCCACAACCTTGATATACCATATTTTTACGCTATTTGAGAACGAAGGGCGACCATTTTGTCTGTCAGTTTTGGACCGATTTTCGAACTCGAAATTCGAACTCAGTCGTCCTCAAGGTCTAACGGTGATATAATAATACGTTTTTTTAAATCGGATAAAAATTATGACCTCTATGGGGTCCACAAGCTAAAATCGCGATTTTTCGTACAATCAGGGGCCATAATTCAGGAAGTTACATTCTGAATATCGAAAGGAACCAAGATCTTTGGGTTATAAACTTACATTTCAAGTTTCATCAAAATAGGATTAAAATTGTGACCTCTATAGGGTTCACAACCTTGATATACCATATTTTTAAGCTATTTGAGAACGGAGGGCGGCCATTTTGTCTGTCAGTTTTGGGCCGATTCTCAAGAAATTCGAACTTAACCGTCCTTAGGGTGTAACGGTGTTATAATAATACATTTTTTTAAATCGGATAAAGTTATGACCTCTATAGGGTCCACAAGCTAAAAACACAATTTTTCGTTCAATCAGGGGCCATAATTCAGAAAGTTACGGTCTAATATGCGCGAATAACGAGAGGAACCACGATCTTTGGGTTATAAACTTACATTTCAAGTTTCAAAAACATCGGATAAAAATTATGACCTCTATAGGGTCCACAACCTTGATATACCATATTTTTACGCTATTTGAGAACGAGGGGCGGCGATTTTGTCTGTCAGTTTTGGGCCGAATTTCACGAAATTCGAACTCAGTCGTCCTTAGGGTGTAACGATGATATAATACTACGTTTTTTTAAATCGGATAAAAATTATGACCTCTATAGGGTCCACAAGCTAAAAACGCAATTTTTCGTACATTCAGGGGCCATAATTCAGGAAGTTATGTTCAGATATGCGCGAATATTGAAAGGAACCAAGATCTTTGGGTTATAATCATACATTTCAAGTTTAAAATAAATCGGATAAAAATTGTGACCTCTACAGTGTTCACAAGCTAAAAACGTGATTTTTTGTACAATCAGGGGCCATAATCCATGAAGTTACAGTCCGATACATGCCAATATCGAAAGGAACCGAGATCTTAGGGTGATAAACCTATATTTTAAGTTTCATTGAAATCGGATAAAAATTGTGACCTGTAGACTGTTCACAAACAATTGTGGACGGACGGACGGACAGGGGCGACGACAATATACGTCCACATGAAAATGTGGGCGTATAATAAAAATCTATCTTACTGTTTTATCCTCCCGGAATAACCAGCCGCTCTGAGCTCGAGAAAACGTTATATTCTTCGTAGACATCTGAGCGGCCATAATATCACTACACATTAAAATATCAACTTCATCCTCTAATTCCATTTCACTTTCCTGATAAAAATAACATACATGTAATTATATAGAGAGAAATGGGGTTTAACATCCACTCAACACAAACTTGGTCATTTCGGGACTAAAATGTAATTAGAACTACAGTATTCAGACCTGAAAAGATAACTGATGAGGAATGAACATGTCTCGGTTGGACAGTAATGTCAGACTCCAAGTACTACTAACATTTTTGGAATGTTGGAATGGATTATGGTAATAGAGCAACTGGAATATGCAACTTTCAGAAGAGAGAGAGAGAGAGAGAGAGAGAGAGAGAGAGAGAGAGATGGGGTTTACTAGGTCATTCAGGACTAACATATGGTTCAATTTTATTTCAATAATTCGGTTGTGCGTAGAGGTCTTTAGCAGTGGGAGGAAACTGGAGGACCCGGAGAAAACCCATGAGGTTGGACAGGCAACCATACTCCTTGTCACGTACAACCGGGGAATCAAAACAATGCCACTTGACTCAATGACAGATCTTATGATACAACGTGCATTGACTAACCATTCGGCTATCCAACCCCTGTATCACTGACAAGGGGGAACCACGCCGGAAAATCTAGATGTACTTTCTCGGCCAAAGCAGGGATCGAACACCCGACCTCCAGGCTAGCTAGCCACCGTAACCCCCTAGTTTTAAATAAACAATTAGACAGACTTACCTGATATCTTATTCGTTGAAAAACTTTCTGTTTATTATCTAATACTGTTAAGGACTGTTTTGGCGGTGCGTCTCCGTTAAATACAAAAGTTATATCCCCTCTTTCCCAGTGCATATCATTAAAATCAACTAGCGTTGTATCCAAGCTAGAAACAAACATTATAAATAAATATACATTATAATCTCGGAACTTTTGGTAGTGGTCCCCACCATACATAAATATCACCAAATATATCAATAATTATTCCCAAAAAAATTCTTAGTTTCTCCCATTTAAAGTCACTAATTAAATTGTCATGTTGTATTTAACAAGTTATAAACATTTAAAGTACAATAAAAAAAATTGACTGAAATCGTAAATGACAAGCCAACATCACATTCAGCCATTTTTAGTGCAAAATAAGTCATGTGCCATTAGTTTGAAATTAGTCTTGCCAAACCAATCTACACACCTATATCCAACAGGGTACACTTTATATACAAAGAGAGAGGGAGAGAAATGGGATTTTAACATTCACTCAACACAAACTCAGTCATTTCGGGACTAACACATGGTTCAATTTTATTTCAATAATTAAATTTGTTTGTGTGTACAGGTCTTTAGCTGTGGGAAGAAAAACTACGAGGTTGGACAGGCGACTCTAAACCTTCGACTCACGTACAAGAGGGGAATCGAAACCACGCCACTTGATTCAATGACCTAATGGATGATCCAACACCCCTATATACTAAAAACAAAATACATAAGTCAAAAACTTAAATATACATACCGTATACATGGTCCACGTTTGTGTATTTTACATACATCAGACGGTAATATCCGCGACACTAGAGGAACTGAAAATAATAAAAAGACAAATTTATATAGCGCATAGCTTCCACGGTTAGGTGCCCATATGTGCTGTACAAAAGTAAATGAAACATAAATTTTAGAAAAAAAGCTTTAATAAACGTCAAATCAAGACATAGAATGACAAAACATAGCATACATAACAAAATATTAAAACAAAAACCATGTTTAAATACATTATAAGATATATTCAAAAATGTGAAAACTTTACATAAAAGCTTCTTTAAAAAGATGTGTCTTTAAGTGTTTTTAGAGAGAGAGAAAAGGGGTTTAACGTCCATTCAACACAAACTAGGTCATTTCGGGACTAACATTACTTGATTCAATTTTACTTCAATAATTTGTTTGCGCGTAGGGGTCTTTAGCAGTGGGAGGAAACCAGAAGACCCAGAGAAAACCCACAAGATTGGACAGGCGACCTTACTCTCTATCACGCCACTTGACTCAATGACAAACCTTCTGATCCAACGTGCAGGCATTAAACATTCGGCTACCCAATCCTCCATATTAGAACAAGAATAAGGTTTACATACAATATATAAAAATGTAAAACATTTCCTTAAAATGGAACTGAATCCTGTAAATTTAAATAACGTAAGACAACTCTTACCCCAACTATGAAAATCCCATTTTAACTCTAAATAAAAGTCATCAATATTTTTCAGAGCTCGTATTAAGGCTGGTCGTCGATCTTCTAAAACATCACGAGATTGTTTCTTCAACTTTCGTAATAAACTTAAAACTGAAACAATTTTAATAAATCATGTAGATGTAAAGTAATAAATCATGCAGCAAACAAATCCGATTTAGAAATGAATTCAAAATGAAGAGCCCCGGGGAAGAACGATCTAAGTCACTTTTTCAACGAACACCAATTAATGGCGCCATCTAGTAGCAAATAGTATAACCTTTCTGTGGAACAATCATACCCTTTATTAGACCTTAATCTGGCACAAAAGTGGAAGTCAGTTGTTGTACTGGTAATTATGATTCGTATTAAACATCATTTTGAAGTTGTACTTAAACCCACTCGTTGTTCTGTTCGCGTCAAGCATTCTCGTCCAAAAGTCTGTTTTGCCTTTTATGCGAAAAGACCAAATTGTTCTTCCCCTGAACTCTTCAAATATAATGTGGTTTAATGTCCTACTTTTCTCAACCAATTGGTCCAATGAAAATGGGCTTACGCCATACAATGTGCTACGAGGGAAATTTTGCTATACCCTCTGTTCTGCAGCACTGACAAATAGAAACAGGGTAACTATCTCCACCAACACAGGGATCGAACCCACCAGATTCAGACAGAACTTGAAAAAACTAGATCATTTTGGGAGTATGACATAGCTAGGTATATTTTTATTTCATAAAATCGTAGATTGACTGGACTCTAAAACCACCACATTCCTGAAGCAATGGCCTGAGAAATCCCTCTCTGCCCATTGCTGGATTGGCTTCTGATACCCGAGCTTTAGAGGGAGTGCGTCTATTCTTCCCATTCAATCAAATATAACAACATTGACAGCCCTTCTTCAATATTCTGCTATGCATTGGTTAATTGGGCATAATAAAATTGTGAATCATGACGTAACATTATGCAAACATATTTGGTTCAATTTGGAGCTTTGTTTAAAGCATAATGACATTGTAACACAGTTAGCTATTGGTTGTCAATCGCACCATTGACCAGTCATAATTTGGAACAGAAATTTGCTTCCATTCCAGCAGTGTTTAGTAGGATTAGCTCTAATCAAACGAAAAACACTGCGAGGAGTATGTAAACCACTAGCCCATGCATCCCTCTTCAAAGTACAGTATAGGGCATGTTTATTTCTAAAAATTTGACGTGTTCAATAGTTACACTGGTATCTTACTTGTTTGTCTGTCACCATAACTGATAGCTTCAGCTAATGGAGTCCAACCCTGAAGATTTTTTACTTTAACCGGAGCACCATGCACCAATAAAAGCTGGATACATTCTATAATAAAATAAATCATTCATTTCATCAATTCAATAAATAAAACTATTATATTTTACACTCAAAACCTGACCTTTCACTAAAATTGTGCCAGATGGTTTATTGTCCATGCATTGTATTTTTTTTTTTTTACCCCGAGATCAGTAAGGTATTTTTTCCAAAAAATATGGTAATTTTTTGCTTTATCCAAATTTATATATTTTTTTATTAAAGTGTTTTTACACATAAGAAATGTAAATACAACCAAAACCACACGGATGACGAACCAAAGACCCAGTGAAGACTTGGAAATCCAACCTCCTTAATAGTTTAAGGAAGAAATTTTAAAATAAAATGTCAACAAACTCTAGTCATTGCTTTTTTCACAAGCTCCATAGTTATTCTGCTGACGACACCAGAATTAATATAACAAACTCGTGTATGATTCATCTAATCTAGGGATTTAACCATTATTTCTAGACTGAACCTATTAAACATAAATTATGCAAGAGCTAAATCTGCCTATTTCAGGTCTTTCTTTAGGCCTGAAATGTTATCTAAATTATTAATTAGACATTAATTAACCTATCCAGGCCATAATCAACTCTAGATGGCAGCGCTAGCCTGCGATCTTTAGTGGATTGTAAGCCGATTTACTGCATAACTTTCCTTCTCGTTTAAACGATTAAATGGATAATCGAGACTATGCTGTTTATCGTACTGACTTAAGTAATGATGACCGAGGCTTATGGGAATTTCAGTCACTTAGTTCTCGGTTCATAGTGGATCAATTTGAATGAAATTTTCACCAAATTGCCTTTACATTATCTAGTTTTTAACTATTATAGTGAGAACTGCCAACTCGTTACCGAATCTCCCATAATGTATCTTTAATATTTTACTGTTTCTTTACAGGGGCATAATAGTTCTCGCTATAATAGTTCAAAAACCGAGATATTAGCTTTTGAATTTTTGGCCAACCTCGATCATCATTACTAAAGCCGGTACAATAAAAAACAAAGTCTTGATTATCTTCTTTTACATTCAATTATTTTTCAAAAAATGTACATTTGTATGCCAATCCACTAAATATCGCATGTTAGCAATGGCATCAAGAGTTGATTATGGCCTGGATAAGTTAATTAATGTCTAATTAATAATTTAGATAACATTTCAGACAGAATTAGCTCTTGCATAATGTATGTTTAACTTACCATTCCGTCCCAGCATGACAGCAAGATGTAATGGTGTATTACCTGAAATTAACAAGAAAATATTGACAATTGAATGCTCACTGTACATGTATATGGCCACTGTCCAGGCAAAATTTCCTTTATCACACAGTATCGCGTAACCCATCTTCATTAGCCCAATCGGAGCAGAACAGTAGGACATTAAACCCCATTTCATTTCAATTCTCACTGACATTTGTTATTTAGACTTCAATTCTCACTGATATAAAATAAATCTTTATAATATCTGTTATTGTATTATTTTATGGGTAGGAACTATGAATAACAAAATTAAATGGACAGTTAGTCGATGACAAATGGTATACAAAATGATTGAATGTCTAGTTGACGTAGTTCCTTGGGGAATGTTCTCTGATCAGACGCTGTTCTCTGTCTCACAGTTCCTGTTTATATCTATTGAACTGCAATATGAAAATTCCGCTCTACCGCTGAAATCCTTACTTTTTATTTTTCACTGTGATACTTCGTTTTACGTCAAAAGGAACCATTTCCTACCACATTTCGTACTGGAGGACCAATTCAAACGTATTTTGTATATATTTTTGAATCGCAAAATTCTACTTGCAAATAGTGTTGAATTACTATAAGTCTGTGTCAAATGTGGCGAGAAATGATTCCTTTTGGCGAAAAAAGGAGAATCACCATGAAAAATAATAGGCAAGGATTCCAAATTTACCTTAGAACAGAGATGAGAGTAGAGCGGTATTTCATATTGCAGCTCAATAGAGATGAACAGGAACAGTCAGAGGACAATGTCCAATCAGAGACTGATAGTTGTCAGTAGTTGTACTAGATTATTACAATTCACAATGAGTGAATGAGGAGACACTTTGATTTGGGATAAAAGTTAAATTGTAGGCTAGATTGAATTTAATGTGTGATGAAAGGTTGTCTTTGTCAATAATTTTACATATGTAGACACAATACACTCGGTTTTGTGTTGTACAGTTGACATTTTACTAGTACGGTAAGTAAAAAAAATAAGTTAAAATTTTGTAAATAAAATAGGCCGACTTCGGCCATCTCTATAAATTTATAGTATAAATTAACTATGTTATTCGTATTTTATTAAATTTAATTTTAAAGCAAAACCAATCAAATTAAGATAATTGCAAAATAGCTTTTTGGAACTCATGGTCTCAAAAACAAATTCACATACACCCCCCCCCCCCCCCGCCACACCTTTTATTAATAAAAAGTGACATGTCCTTAGCTATGTCAACAAAAGAAAACGGTTAGAATTTTGGAGGTGTATTCTTTTTACTCAGATAGCTATGGAACACAACATGTTGCAGTCGGAATTAATTCAATGGGCATGATTCTTTACAGTTGCTCTTCCGAAATTTAATTAGGGAAATCCGAAGTCTGACTGAATAACGAAATCAAATCTAAAATGAAGGAACAAAAGAAGCCAAACATAACCACGTTCGTTTCATCCGCTGTTCGACAATCATAGATTCGAATATTTCCATACCATGAATATCTTTTAGAGAGACATCGTGTGTTCTTATGAGTTGTGACAATCGTCTGTAATCGTCTTTAAACACGCATTGATGTAATGGATATTCTCCAAACTCAACATCGTCGGCCATCTTTATTTACTAAATTACGTCAGTAGGGACCGGTCATTTTGTTATAAAATAATTATAGAATTTCTGATAAAAACTCAGTTACTGACTCTAAATCTACACCTTTCTGACCTTATAAATTAAAAAAATATTCTTTTCGCATATGTATCTAACAAGAAATAATGCTTATATCGAAGGATATTTCAAAACTGCTCCCTGAACAATAAATAAAGGGGGATAAGTCATTGTAAGAATTTCACAGAGCCAGAAATCCAGCTTGGCCACCATTTGAAATATCTTTGATAATTTAGAAATGAATATTAAATTTATTGTGATATTTGGTTCTTTAGTGTTCCCTCTACCTATTTGTATATTAAATTTCCATAATAACATCAAGATTGGAATCAAAACTGAAATGGTGGCCCACAACATGTCAAGAATTACATAACATTGATGTTAATTAAGAATTTATTTTCAAATACATCAAGGATTTGAAATATTATGAATGGAATTGTGATTTGAATTAAATTGATGTATTCAGTCACCCAAAATAATGCGAGTTGAATTGGCTGGGGTACCAAGGTGGTGCTGTAAGATGCTCGCTCACTAACCAGGAAGCTATCCCTGGTTCCCACTCAGTGTTGGCTGAGAAAATTCAGCATATTCCGGCATCGTTTCCTCTGGTCAGTTGTGATTGATGGAAGGCCATCTAGTTGTTAGTATTTCAAACAATAGGCTATAGCACCATTGTCTTAGCCAAATTGTACTCTGCAGGGCATAGACCCATCTTTAATACTCCAGTTGTGTGCAGGAAAGTAGGCTGTAAAATCCATTTTATTTCGTGTGGGCTTCCCAACAGTTTAAAGGACAATATTGGGGTCAGTCATAATTACATATGTGATAGAACTGATTAAATACATTCCAAATATAATTTTAAAACAGAGATCATTGCTACAGGAGATGTGTAACAAGCACGTGAAGAAACGGGAAGTGACGCCAAACATGACAAACACGACATATCCTTCTATATATCTGACTGAAGTAACAAGAGATAACAGAAAAACGATTGAATTTGATTTCAATGATAATTCCGTTGAAGTTGAAAAGTTATTATATGGGACGGTGAGAGTTTATCTCACAATTCAAAAATAGAATTGGCTGTCACTAGATAAGGGAAAATGAGAAAAATAGAAAAATCCTGTGCATTCCCCCATTTTTATTCATTCTGTTCTTAGTAAAAACATGGTAATGCACTGACTTTTTCTAATTTGTTCGTTATCTTTTATCTAATAACAGCCAATTCTTTTTTTGAATTGTCAGATATCCTCTCACCGTCTCGTATAAGAAAATTTCATCTTCAACCGAATTATCAGTTATATAGTAGGATAACTCGTGTTTGACATGTTTGTCGTCACTTCTCGTGCTTGTTACACATCTCCCGTAGCAATGATCTGTGTTAAAATTATATTTGGGATGTATTTAAAGGGACAATAACACTCTTGCTGGCTTGACAGCTCCAGAAAATAAAAAAAACAGCCTTATTCTAAGTACTAGATGTGTTAGTGTCCTACCTGTTGTGTAAATTATCCATTAAATCCTATTTTACTTGTCCAAAGGGTTCAAAAATATTTTTAAATCCAAGTCACATTTGAAAAGCTTTACATCAGGCTTTTCAAATCATTTAATTGAATTTTTTAAATTAGGTGTGTTAAGAAATTTGTATCATCAATTAATTGGAATATTGTAAAATAGTACAATTTGTTGTCCAGAATAAAGATTGGGACATATTATTCAGTTACAACAAGAGTGGTATTGAGCCTTTAACCAGTTTGACAAAAAATAAAATTCAATCAAAATTTAATGATTCTTTTTTTTTTTTTTTTAGAGCAAACTGTGTATAGCCATGTCTAATAAAAAGTTCTCTGCCAGTTACATGTACAATCCCCCTCCCAGCTGCTTATATATTACAGCTACATCTATCACAGCTCCTGCCAGCTACATGTATTACCAGATTTTTTGGTGTATTAGGCGCACTTTTTTTTACCAGATATTTTTATTTATAGAAGGGGTGTGGCCAATACATAGTAATAAGCAAATCCAGGCTTGTCCCCGCGTCAACATCGAAGTCTGAAGTTGATGTCGACATTTTTCGTGCAATAAAGATGGCGGCCATTTCAGCTACCGTTGTTCTGTAAACTACAAACGACAGTGCTAACAACATGGGCCGATATTGGTTCAGCGTTGACGGATTTTAAAATATCTGCAAAATTATTGTAAATATTTCTTATTCCAATGTAATGGATGACATATTTCTGCTATCCCGTATGTGTACCGGTACTGTTGGAAATTACCGGCAATTCAAACAGTGTCCCGTCAATGGTGTTGTCAGTCAAGTTGACGAAATGGCCCCTTCCAGCTATGTGTATCACAGCCCCTGGCAGCAATCTGATTAAATACAGTTCTATATTTCATTTCGTCTTTTTTATACTTTCGATGGCCTACACTACATGAAGATCTAACCAGTTGTACTAGGAGGTCGAATCAGGGGTCATACAAGCGGCTTTTGACCCTATGACTTTAGTAATTGATTAATCAACCAGCGTTGACGTTTCTAAATTAATTGCTAAAACAAGACGTATAGTTTTTATTAGTTTTTTTTTATTTCTACATGAAGTAGTTTATTTGAGTGGGATAAATCTTGAAGAATGTGTGGCACCAATACCAGGTCGACCGTGCTTTACTGGTTTATATGTGATACTGAATTCTCCCAAATAATGGCCGGTCATCTCAGGCTGCAAATAGACAAAAAAAGTGGTTTAATTCTATTTATACACAGGTGCTATTCATTGCTCAAAAACACTGTTTATTCAGAGAGAAATGGGGTTCAACGTCCACTCAACAAACATATTGGGACTAACATTACATTTTTATCTTGATTTTCTTTTATGTAGGGGTTTTCAGCAATGGGAGGAATCATAACCCAGAGAAAACCTATTTCTAGTCATGTATAAGTGTGTCATTGAAAACAATGCCAGATGACTGAATGATTTAAAAGTGCAGAAATAAAGTTGACTCCGCCACCCTATTTATTGTGACCAGCATGACGACTAACACCACAAATATATGAATGAAATAGGGTTTAACATCCTACTGTTTTGCACCGATAGGGCTGAGGAGATAGAAATGGAATTTAACTTCTGTAGGGCACAAACCAATCATTGCGGGACTAACATGGTTAAATTTTATTTGAATAATTTGCCTTAATGTAGGGGTCTTAAGTGGAAAGAAACTAGACAGAGACATGGGGTCTAACATCCACTCAAAACAAACTAGGTCATTTCGGGACTAAGGGAGGAAACTAGAGGACGTAGAGAAAACCCATGAGGTTGGACAAGTGACCTTTCTCCTTGTAAGTACAACTGGGGATCGAAACTATGCCACTTGACTCGATGACAGGCTTTACATGCACGCATTAACCCATTCAGCAACCCTATGATGAATGTCATTATTTGTGTAATGCTCAGAAAGGGTTCCACGTATTAAAATCATTATTGGTCATTCAAACGGTTCTTTCATCACAGCATTAATCAATTCTAAATACAGGCAGTCTTTATTATAAGCAAATATAAGATAAACTGCAGAGTACATTCAAAAACTTCTTAGGTCAGTAAATCTGAGCATAAAAATGTCTGTTCTACTAATGTGGATATATGAAGCTGGGCATATGCCATGCACTTTTTGGGAGTTCCATCCATGGACTACCACTGTCAAGGGTGAACCATTCCGGGGAAAAACTTTCTCGGCAAACATTGGGATCAAACACAGTAGATTCAGGTTTGCGAACCAATGCCTTACTTAGCCACCTGCCCCTCAACAATAGATATTGATGGTGTGCAGCATGACGACCTATCTTACACCCAAACAAATGAAATGTGGTTATAAATACGGAGAGAAATTTACCTTGATTTCCACCTGATTGTAAGTTTTACCATTATATACACCCACGATACTACCAATCATTTCAGGTACAATAATCATATCACGAAGATGGGTCTTCACTACCTGTAATCAGAGATAAACAATAATCATATCATGAAGATAGGTCTTCACTACTTGTAATTAGATATCATTACTTGTATAATTTCAATTGAGGAGGGAAAGAGCGAAAATATCACAGAGATGGGTCTTTGACTGTCTGAAATCAGATAAAGATAATTACACATTTCACAGCTTAATCTTGGGGAAGGTGTGTAGCACAAAAATGATATAGTGTAAACATCCTACTTTTAGGTAAAAACTGATTAAGATAAATAATGGAGAAACACCAGAAAATTCGACAGGACAGTGTTTCTGACTATGCCTACATGGACATCAAAAGTGTACACACAGAACCTTCTTTTTGTTCCATCTCAACTAGATGCAGTTCCTTTTCAAGTCTGAGAAAAATTTAATCAAACACAGGACAAACAAAAGAATGCTTACTTCTGGTTTTTCAAATGGACCGGCCCTTTTCTTTGATTTCCTCAATTTCTTCATGAAGTGCATTGGTTTGCGTTTTAAACCTCTGGAGAATCGTCGACGTGGACCAGTTCCAAGAAGTTCAACCAGTTGATCACTGAAAACACAAATTTAAACATTTTAATTTTTAAAATAGAAAACCTCAATCTGTTTTACATGTAATAAATCTGGATGCTCAGAAAGGGTTCCACATTATAGAATCATTCAAGGTCATTTCAATGGTTCTTTCATCATGGCATATTTTATTTTGCTTAAACATACATTATGCAAGAGCTAAATCTGCCTATTGCAAGTCTTTATTAAGGTTTCAGATGTTATAGAAATTATTAATTAGACCTTTATTTACACGACAAGCTCAAAATCAACTCTGGAATGGCTTAGATACAGTTTGGATTTAAACAGTCGTCCAATAAATGGTGGACCAAGTTAACGTTTACCGTTAGTCATTACCGGAAACTGGAGATGAAAGGCCTGCCACGTGAGGCTACCATAGCCATTAAGCATGT